ATTTGTTCTGTCTTTTGAATAGGTTTGTTTAAAATACTATAAAATTCCCCATATATTTGCATGTCCTTTTATAGCTCGAGAACGGATACCCTACATCGATCTGCACCAAATTTGGCATGCTTATTCCTTGAGACCAGAAAGAGAACGCAACATGGCCAAACTGTAGACAAAGTGTCTTGAGTTAGACTCCCAGTGAGTGTGGTACCTGTAGCCCGGAAATAAAACGATAGAAGAACGGTGTGGAGCCCAAAATGTTTCTTTTTCGAAAAGGAGGTTAGGGAACCAAAGACTACAACCCCTAAACGCTGTCCTGGGTTCCATTCCCGGTGAAGATTTTGAGTTTAGGTTTTTTTCCCCATGATCTACAACTATACCTGTCGAATGATCAGGCCTGTGGAAAGCCTTCGGGCAGTAAAGACTGACAAAAGAATTTTAAACATTTATCGAATTTCCCCTCTGTGGGCACCGCTGATATGTGCCGTGAATTACCATCTGGAATATGGTTGATTGACGGGTGTAACATTACGAAGAACGCATGGGTAAGAAGTGTCCTCAGACATTTCATGGGATGTGGGTTGCGGCTGGCTCCTGTAGCTACAAGCCGGTCTGTCTGGTTCACAGATTATCTTATGATCCAAATGGCTGACTGTCACATTCTTGCTTCTAGACTGCACGTCCTCCGTCCTCGGGACAGGTTGCCATATCAGCAGAGTCTGGGGGAAGGGCTTGCCCTTTAAGGTTGCAGGAAGGGGAGCACACTAGTGCGTAAAATATTAATGAACAGCGGGGGGATTCCACCCTGCATGAATAAGCACTGCTGAAAGATTCGCAACTGGTGGTCCGCGTGGTACACGCGTCAATGCCATATTTGTATTGAATCTCAAATATGAGCCACGTAGGTCGGTCGAAATGCAGTTAAGACAGAAGACATGAGAAATGTTTTCCAGAATTTAGGTGGGGAAGAATTTTTGAAAGTTCAGGATTGACAGACCTAGGTAATGGTAGGATAATATGAAGTTAAATTTCATGGGTGAGTTATGTGAATGGGAGATGGATGCAGCTGGTTGAAAAACGTGCAGAAGGTTTTTATTTTCGGCTCGTCCAGCGTGAAGAATAAACTATAACAGACAAATTCTTAAAAATTTATCTACCTGTAAGTTCACACAGAGCCACGGTGGTCTAGCGGTTAGAACGCTGGCCTTGCAATCCTGGGGTCTCGGGTTCGATTCCCGGCGGTGCCCGAATTTATAACTTGTGTTGGGCAAGGCCGTGGTCTAGGCAACACGGAGTTTTCCTCCGGGGGCTTCCCCGGTTTCTCCGTGGCATCCCAACAATTACTCCATTCACACACAGAAGAAGGCAATGGCAAACCACTTCTGGATCATCTGCCAAGAACGTATATGAACAGGTCCCAGTCGGAGAAAAGGATGGAAGGATCCTGTTCATATGGACCTGTCGTCAGACAGAACACTAAATAAATAAATAAAAATAATGTCCCGGAATGACCATCTTTTGTAGATCCACGCTGGAGTAATTAAATAACGTTACCTAAGCCTTCACACTGGACATACGTTGTATTTCTCCTGCATTATTATTGTTGATAAAACAGGTGTTTAAAACTTCTGTCCGAAGGAGTACCGCATGGAGTACTTTCATTACAGTCTTGTTAAACGCCTATATGAAGTCCCAGTGTTGGACTACATCAGCGGAAAATGTTATTTCGTACTAGTCGTACTATTGGAAGTAACAGCCAGTAAGACAACACAGGATGTCCTTAATGCTAAATACACCACAGGTGTAAATCCTGCCCACTGTAACTAATTTTGCTGTGTAATTTAATTCCACAGTACCATCACGGCTTATACAATCAGACGTGTTCCGTCTCCAATTTTAAGATTGGTCCTGACATTATTTCTTGGGTCTTTCTACGTTTCTTTCCCTTGTCGGCTTATATTTCGGAATTTTCGTTCAGATCAATAGGTTTTGTAGCTGTCAATATTTGTAACAATATTTGTTAGACGACACTGATGTCTTATTTCCTCATTATGTTTGTAGTCATATAAGTGAACCTAATACTTTAATTTCTGTAGCTTCGATCTTTATTCCTGCTTCGTACTCGGGAGGTACTGGGTTCCAATCTCGACCCTAACTGAGGTTTTCGTGATTTCCCTCAGTACCTCCAGCCAAATGCCGAGAAAGTACCTTAAACTAGGTCACGACCGCTTCCTTCCATATCATTTCCAATTCATTGTTCATTAATCATCCGACGTTATGTACTGTTGGAGTCGATGTAATATCGACGTCATTCGATCGAACGCAATCTATGCTGCAGCCCAAATAATAAAATTTATCAACTTGTTCAACATTCGGCTATATGAAGCTTGCTGCCTCCATCTTCTGGGCAGACGCAGAAGACAGACATATTCATACTCGCGCCTTGAGAACCTTAGATCTCATAAATATATTATTTGTTACAACTTCTGAACTGAGAGATTCCGCGCCTTTAAAGGCAAGGCCTTCGCTTTTGTTTGTAGAGATTTTTTAAATCGTGTTTATATGAAGTATTGTTTGGACTAAAAATTGTTCTCTTGAAGTTGTCTTCTGGAATATAACGTAATTTTTACTTGATCTGGAGTCAGAGTCACATCCTGTAACGAGCTGGAGCGCAGCATCACAGATCGATATGGAGAAAACTGCACCTCCATTGGATGCTGGGAATCTCTGGGTGAGCTCGCTGCAGTGGCGGACCACGCAGAACTTATCACGCGTCCTCCACTTCAGATTGTCCATTATATTTGGAGAGTCTAACAGAATTATAATTAATATCTCTTTTCTTTTGAACTTCGCATTCCTCAGCTCAAACTGTTCATTAATTATCTTCAACAAATGAAAATATATCTACGCCTATAGTAGATTTATCTCGGCCGCCATGTTTCTTTGCTTTCTGTAAAATAATTACACATTAAAAAAGCTTTAACGCAAAATTTCAGGATCCGACATTAAGTGACTCCAGTTTCTCCCCATTGCCCTTGTAATATTCTTATGACAGAAAATTTAACATTCAAAAGTAGGATTGCGTGTAACGTGATTTACAAGCCAACTGTAATAACATTTTGTGAGCTGGTTCGAAAGTTGTCTGATCTGAGGGTTCAAATCTCCGCCCTTATCCTGACAGATTCGTGGCTTTACTCAGTCATCAGGCATGTTCTGGGATAATACTTTAAATTAGGCCATTGTCGCATGTTTTCACATCCTTCCCAATCCATACCATCTGATCATTCGAGTGAACAATTAACTGAAAACTTCGTTACATAAACTACGAATAAATAAACTCCCTTCCCTCAGATCTGTTTGTCGCTTTCCCCTGCGCAGAATTTAAAGGGTATTTGAATTTTAATTAATCTGTCCAAATGTAAATGAGAGAGCAGAGGGTTAAACTGAAAATGCTTAACTGTCGCTGGTTGTGCTCGGCTCGCGGCCTTATATTGCGATACTCTGCAGCACGCCACTGATTGGCGCCTGCGCGGTCGATTCCCTAGCTACATCCATGGCTGGGTCCAGGGTTCGCTGTCGTCTGAAGAAGACTGCAAAGTGTTGGGCGGCGGACTGAATAAACTGGTGTTGTGAGGGTGGCCCTACTGGATTCCTTCTCAGCCATTCTGTCACACTCTCCAGGGTGTTTAGGCTACTGCCATTTTGTGTCAGGATAAGCTTACGGAATAATTATGCATTATGTTTGTTTCTGTTTTGAGTCATTTAACAGGCTTTAATTGAATTAACCTTGGTATGGAAGTCAAGCCTCTTATAATTTAATTCTCAATTTCATATTATTCGTAGTGTCATCAAAGTGGCTTTGAAAACTTTTGGGCTGGGAGCTATACACACTTAAATTAACGTAGGTTCCAAAATGATTGTATGATAGATCTTCGAAAAAGTGCAGCTTTTGAAATATACTTTTTTTTTT